GTAAATCATGTGAAACACTCACATTCATAAGCGGATCCAGGACGGACTCCTAAGAAGGCTGGGGGGGCCGGGAGGGAAGGGAGAGGGGAGGAGGAGAGTCCCATCCCACTTTGGAGCTCTGCAAAAACTAGGGATAGATTTGTAACACTGCTACTTGGGGTTACTTTAGGCTTTAGCTTACTTTAGTTTTAGTCCTGCGCTTTTGCAGCACTAGTGCCTGTGTTGCTGGAGGATCGGGGGCGGGAGGAGGGGGAAGGAAGGGGGGAGGGGCGAAAGGCAGTAGGACGTTCTGGATACTCAGATTGTTGAATGTTCATGGTGTTAGGCATTTTTCATAAAACCGTAAGAAAGGGAACCATCATCTTGTCAGCAACCAGTTATTGGAAAAAAAATTACCACCGGAATCGCAGTTCGTTTTTGTTTCTCATAGGAAATGAAATGAGATGGGATGTTTGAATGATAGTCTAGAATTGTTACTTCCTTTAGAATTGTTACTTTCTCTACAGTTGTCTAGAATTGTTACTTCCTTTAGTTGAAATGTTTATTTCACGAAAGTATTTTTGCTCTATAACTCAAACATCAAGTCAAGGATCGTGGAACATAAAGTACGGTAACATCACTACGGTAATATCGTTTGGACCATTACAGCAACGTCGCCACGGTTTGGGCTGTTACAGTAACACTACCAGCATGGGACTACCATACACCCGGTCGGTCCTGGCGATGTTGAGCTTCAAAATAAATCGTTTCTTTTGCCAAGGAAGGGGGCGTCTAGTTATTCTCTGAAATTCTGTTCTCATATATGATAAATTCGGTTTTGTTTTCAATCCAAAAATTTTTTCAGACTCTATGAGCTTGGTCCCCGGCTTACATTGGAACTGACGAAAATCGAAGAAGGTGTTGATGAGGGTGAAGTTCTTTATCACGCTTATATCTCGAAAACTGTCAAAGAGCTTGTTCGACTGCGAAAGGAATTGCCGAAGAAAAAGTTAGCATTCTTATTTTTTGACGTAATAGCATTTTTATTTCCTCACATTTTTCAGGAAGTATTCAAACTAAATGCAGGGTGATCGTGGAGGACTTACTGGTAGTCGGACAGAAACTGGAAAACCCACATTCGTTTCCTTCCATCCTGTATAGAAGACAAAGGGATTCAAAGATGGCTAGAGTAATAAGCGTTTTTTCCTTTCTCTCTCCTTTCTCTCCCCTCCCCCTCTTTCCCTCATCCTCCCTTCCTACCCATCAGTGACAACTCATTGACAAGGCGATGAGTGGTTTTTCCTAAAATTCCAAGGAACGAAAAAGCTGATCGCTACATTGGCGTTGTAACTTGATATTGCTGCTAGTTCACCACTGATTCCAGTGATCTGACAAATAAACATGCCATTATCTTTCTTTTTCGCTTCATGGATGCTTAAACCAGTGCTACATCGGCTGGTGATCAGATTTCTGGCAATGCTGATGTCCTTTCCCACTTCTAAAAGAATTCCGATCAAACGGGTTCGCCAGGTGGAGGAATTTTGACAAGGCATTAGCCACTCGGAAATTCAAGGATGCGTTTTGAATGCCAGTACCTTGTTTCCAAACACGGCAATTCTCAAACGACCTTTGAGATAACGGT